CGGCTGTGTCTATCTATATACTACAGAACTCTTTAAGATAATACCTGCTGGCTGCGCCGAGAGCGCGTTGACCTGATGGCCGATCGTCTTAAGACGTTCTCCCGCTCTCTCATTCTCTCTCGCGTCCTCGTCTCTCACAGCTCTCGAACGGAAATGAGAGTCCGAGAATGGCCAGGAGACGGAGAGAGTAAGAAGGTCCAGAGCTCTTGAATCCAAACACAACAAGGCGCAACGCGTTACGACTCGCACGAGCTCACTTGGCTCATTTCTCATCGCTTCACCCTTGGAATTCCGATCTGCCGGATTTTTCGGAACTCACGACGACGACGACGACGACGACGACGACGACGACAATGATGATAGCAACGGCGGCGGCGATGCTGCCTCCGCCTATGTCGCTAAAGATACGATATCAGGCATATATAGCATCAGGCATTTATAGTAGATTCTCTTCGCAGCTGCACCTGCCGTATTTCTTTTTTTTTTTTTCTTCCTTTTTCTTCCACGTGCGAGCATATAACTTGTTTCCAGGGTTATAATTTTAATCCTGGATTATTCCATTTGTTTAACAGTCCATTAATACCGAGTGAAGTTTTATTCAGAGAACAATTTTATTTGTAAATAAATATATAATTTTTTGAATAAATATTTCTGTCAATAAATCAATTGGAACCAACATAAGCTTAGCTAGCTGATTCTATTTATTCTATTTATTTAAGAGATAACAACGAGACGAAAGGGATGAATTAATATGAAATTCGAAAATAAAACTGCACTGATGTTACTTCATCGATCTCGAAAATAATATTTTTTATTTCTCAATGAATTTCCTCCTTCTCTTTTATTATATTTCTTTTTTCCTTATTAAATCCACAAATAAATAATTTTTAATTTGAATAATCCGGGAAGAGGAATTTACTGGCACAAGAAAGCGAAAAGGTCTTTGAGGATGCCTTTAGGTGACCTCGACATTTGTGACTGATAAAAACAGCCGAACGATGGAAACCAGGAACGGCATTTCCGCTTCGGCCATCTCGAACGAAGGGGAAGCGTCGGAGCAGCCGCGCGTGGACGCACTCGCGTGATCCTGTTTCCTGTACAAGCTTTTTCGAAGTCTTGGTCGAGGAATCCAAGGTCCGGCCGGGCGTGAGACCGCCGCGGAGAATCCGTTGCAGTATTTTTATCGCGCTCGAGACAAAAAAAAGGGAGGAGCACAAAGGAATTAGCTATTGGAAAGCTGAGAGAAATTCCGTTCGTCGTAGTCGGCGATCCGTATCCTTCGTTCGGAAAGGAGACCGACGAGTCCAGGACTTTGCTTCGCACGATTGCGAAACGTCGTCCATTAGAAGTCGAGAAAAATCTTTGACAACCAGGGGAGCGCGTCATCGACCGTACCTGGCGTCGACGGCGATATCAGCATATCTTTACAAATGCGAGCGGAACACTCGGTGTTGCCGACGTGTGCCGCCGGTATCGATTTCTCACGTAATATCGCGTGATGACCTATTTGCATGAGGAAGTCGAGGAGGAATAAACACCGCGACATTCGATTTCGAGAATGGAACGTTCGCCTCCGAGAAACGGGAACGCGTGGAAACGCCGTAAATATTATGTCGCAGACGTTCCCCGTCTCACCAAACGTCGTTCTTCATTTCGATCACGCAAGCGGTTATCGATTTTGTAATAAAAGAGAAACGTTTATCTCACATATGTATCTTTTTTATTATTCTTTTATTACTCTTTATTATTCCGTTACATCTTTATGGACTCTTTGCTGAATTTGAAATTTTTACGTGACGTAATGGATTTTACGTGCCTTTATTCGTAATGATATTAAAATTTGAATGATATACTTGTACCGTCGTGCACATACTATTTCTAGAAATAGTTATTTAAAGAGATGCTAGACATCATGTCGCTATTATTACACGGCGGTTTTCTTCCGAAGAAAACTCTATTGTTCAACGTCGCTGTCGCGACTTCCGTATTCTTTCGCAGCTCCTATATAGTTTGATTTGTTCTCTTTATCAGGAATCGTTCTTCCAATGGTGCTTCGGCGTGGAAGAACCGGACTGTTACGGCGCTCTCGACCTGGGCACACTTGGTACCTCGATTCTCTTTGTGCCGAGGCTACCGCCCGAATACGCGATTTGGCAGGGCAAACTGCACACTCTGGACGACTTCAAAGAGCGATACGGCGTGAACGAGTGTTACTACACTGACGAGATTGCGCGCGTGTTGAAGGAAAAGCGAGCACACCTTTTGCTCACGCTGGTAAGTCGCGCCTGGGAACAGATGGACGTTCATTGGACTCGCTGCTTTCCTGTCTGCCTTCTCCGCAGGTACAGAAGAGTGCTCAGTCTGGGGATGAGGTCTAAATCTAAAAATAATTGCAATTTTATGTCCGCGCGATTTTTCATTATTCTCGTAGCGCAACTAAAGTCGTTTGTTCTCTTTTACTAAAGCGCGATGTAATTATTAAAGAGGATAAAAAGGAAACAAATCGAACTTGTGAAAGGATCCCGGATTGAGCACCTTCCTTTGCGTGCATGTGTGTGTGTGTGTGTGTGTGTGTGTGTGTGTGTGTGTGTGTGTCGTGTCGTC